CTTTTCTTAGAGTATTATGATAATTGTTCAAGGTCCACTTATGAGTGAGAACATATGGTACTCTGTTCTTTGTTTCTGTGATAGATCACTGAGTATGATCAACAGTCTTATATTCATATTCAGAAAGTAGAGAAGTTCTTCCCAAGTGTGTACCAACAATTAACAAATGTAGACGATCACTATGTATTTATGTGACTGCTTCTCTGATAAAAGGAGGAAACCGGGAACAAAAAATTTGATGTTTAAAGAAAGCACTGATTTTTCTCCCTTCTTAAAAAATATATATATATGAAGGAAGACTACAGCAGAGGAGGGTGGTATTTACTAGAAGAGAGAAGGATTATTAGATATAGGAAAGTAACATTTGTTAAATGGAAAATAAGTGCCCTAGAAGCTATTTGATCGATTGATTTTCTTTCTTTCTTTCTTTCTTTCTTTCTTTCTTTCTTTCTTTCTTTCTTTCTTTCTTTCTCTCTTTCTTTCTTTTTTGAATTGGAGTCACACTCCATTGCCTAGGCTGGAGGGCAGTGGTGCACTCTTGGCCACCCCAGCATCGACCTGATGGGCTCCAGGGATCCCTCCGCCTCAGCCTTCCAAGTAGCCAGAACTACAGGTGCGCACTACCACACCCAGCTAATTTTTGATTTGCTATTTGTTTTCTCAAAAGGGTTCTGTCTACAGTGGCTTCAGATTTTAGAATTCAGTGTATATGTCAAGAAAACACAGTGCCAAGCTTAAAAACTGACATGGTTCTATTGAGTTTAACTAAACTTTTTTTAAAATCAAAAGCATTCATGCGTTTCTTAAATTATTGTCAATTGGTTTCCATGTAACAAAAACTTGTCTTAACACCCAGATTCCTCAGAAAAATATTTTCTCTATAAAAGCAATGTACAAAACAACAATTATTTTGTTAACCTAAGTAATCTCATTTTCCCCCAAGTTGACTAATAATTGGGAGAAATACGGTTTATAGGAGTGTTTACATCATGTTTTATGCTTAAAATAAAACTGAAGTAACAGTTTTAAATTTTATAAGCATAAGTTAACTTGTGAAAAAAAGCAGAGAAGATAGACTTTTCAGTTGTCCTGAAAATTCGCATTTTAACAGGTGATAATTATATTTCATATTTATCTGCCTGCGTATCTCCTGCTGTGGGATTGATTTGTTGCAGAGTAAGTCTCCTTTCCAAGGGAGACTTTGTTCTCCTCCCATTTCCTAATGTTTGATAACTAAATGCAAAACATGTGAAGCCAATAGGAACTTTGAATCAGTAGCACCGCAGGCCCCAAGGAGCCAGAGGAACAGATAGAAAGTTGAGTTGGCCTGCAACAGAGCAGAACTCTCTCTAAAGTGGTCTTAGTTCACATAAACAACATTAAAGAAAACATTTTCTCCCTGCATCTAAGAGTGTAAGCAAAATGTTATGTGCTGTCACTTGCCCTCTTTTGTTACTGCAATTCTAGACTAAAGATGGAAGTATCAGGCTATTGTTGACCTTATGTCACTTGGGAAAGAAGTGTGACAAACATTACTTTATGGTCATTGCAAAAAGGCAACTTTTGGGAGTGAGATGTTAGCAGATATCCTCTGCATGACTAGAAAGTCAAGATGGAAGTAAATGAGATAAGCCACAGAAAAAGTACTGCCCAAAATTATTGCTAATAGGACAGGGTTTTACCCCAGTTGGCCTTGAAATTGAAAAGCATCTCCCAAGTACAGTCAAGGAAATCAAGGGTTTTGTTCTCAGAGAAACATAATTAGTATGAGTACAAATAAAATTAGTATGAGTACAAATAAAACTGTAATAATGATGTTGTAATTGGAAATACTTTTTGATTACTAATTCACTTCCCTATAACTTGATTTGGAGATGGGAATACCCAACATAGACATGTTCCAACTAAATTGGAAGGTTTAGCCCTCTCTGTAATATAAATTAATATTTGGTTTATCAGTTAACCTCTTGGGAGTTTGGGTAGCTTGCATGAGTCTCTAATCTTTTAAATAAGTTAATCAAATAAATTTGTTTGTACCTACAAAGCTGAAATCCATATCCTGGATTCACCAAAATGCAGATAACCCATGAATAGCCAGTCAATCTAAGGGATAACTTTGCACTGCCTTTCGTGAAAATCAGAGTCCAATGTGAAGTCTTAAAGACAAGGTAGGACAAAAGGCTACAACATTTCAGTTTTGTGTTTTGAAGAAATTGAAAGGTTTGGAGTATTTGAAGGAAAGATTATATACCTGACTGATAATGAATTTACAATTTCATTACTTTGGAAATGGCAAACCTCTGCTTCAAAGTAAACTAGTTTATTTCATGCCTTAGTTAACCAAAATCAAAGCATTGGAAGGAGAAGGTTATAACCTAGTTTAAACCCATTGTAGTGGTTAAAAAAGTACACATAATTTTAAAACATTCAAATGGTGCTCTTTTAATCAAGTTTTAAAATCAGGAATCTAAGGCCCTGAGGTTAAACAACTAGTTTAAGGCAGTTCAGTGATAGTTAGATTTTCTATTCCTGCCTTTTGTTCTCATTGTTCTTGTCTAATCTAATTGACTTGGAAAATCTCTCAAGACTGCCAAAGTCTCTCAGGGACTAAAGTTCAGAAATGGCTTTCTTGAAACAGAATGTGAATTATATACTCAGCTAACTCCATTGGTAGAACATGAAACTAATAATCTCAAGGGCTTACAGCCTGTTATTTTTGTGTTTAGGAGAGAAAAATATGTAAGTTAGAATGGGATATAAACTGGCAGCATTAATACCAAGGCTCTGGTAACCAGGTCTAGCCCTAATTAACTGTGGGATTTTGGACACCCTTTCAATGTATCTGAACTTCAGTTTCCTCTTTTGTAAAGCAAAGACATTTTATACTTATTTAATGCCAAATTCTGTGATTTCTTGTAAACCTTTTCCAATCCAAAAGTACATTTAAAAAAATTCACCTGTAAAATACACCTTTAAGGGTTTAAATTGACTTTGAGAAAGAAGATTTTGAATTGGTTGGCTTATTTTGCTCATTATCAGAAAGCATAAGGAATTTCTATAGATTATGAAGTGTTTTATGACAAATCAACCTTTCATATTGGCATGAAATTAGGAAATTAATAGCAACTTTTAATTTTTTTAAAAAGCTTTGTCACCCAGGCTGGAGTACAGTGGTGCAATAATTGATACCTGCAGCCTTGAACTCCTGGGCTTAAGTGATTATCCCACCTCAGCCTCCTTAGTAGCTGAAACTACAAACGTGTACCACCATGCCTGGCTAATTTTTTATTTTTTGTAGAAACGAGGTTTCGGTCAGATGCGGTGGCTCATGCCTATAATCCCAGCAATTTTGGAGGCCGAGGTGAGAGGATTGCCTGAGCCCACAGGTTGGAGACCAGACTGGGCAAGTTGGTGAGACCTCATCTCTACAATAAATCAAAAAATTAGCCAGGCGTGGCAATGTAAGCCTATAGGTCCAGCTACTTGGAAGGCTAAGGAAGGAAGGATCACCTGAGCCCAGCAGGTTGAGGCTGTGGTGGCTATGAGTGTGCCACTACTCCAGCCTGGGGGACAGTGAGATTCTGACTTGAAAGAAAGAAGAAAGAAAGGCAGAAAGAAGGAGGAAGGGAGGGAGGGAGAGAAGAGAGAAAGAGGGAGGGAGGTGGAGAGAGGGAGGGGAAAGAGAAAGAAAGAAAGAGAGAGAGAGAAAGAAAGAAAGAAAGAAAGAAAGAAAGAAAGAAAGAAAGAAAGAAAGAAAGAAAGAAAGAGGAAGGAAGGAAGGAAGGAAGGAAGGAAGGAAGGAAGGAAGGAAGGAAGGAAGGAAGGAAGGAAGGAAGGAAGAAGGCATCATTCTGTTTTCCAGGCTGGTCTCAATCTCCTGGCCTCAAGTAATCCTCCTGTCTCCCAAAGTGCTGAGATTATAGGTATGAGCCACTGCATCCGGCTCCTAATGACAACTTTATCAGAGTGAAAGAAAAAATATCTGAATATCTCAGAATGTACAATATAATCCAATGATAATTTACACAAGACAGGACATCAGGAAACTGGGACTTCAGATACCATGATTTATATGATTTAGGGAAGGACCTAGTGCTGTTTTCAAAAGCTCCCAAGAGGATTCCAGTACGCAACTAGGATTGAGAATTACTAGGTTAGAAGGGCCAAACTCAGTCCTTAAGAAACAGGCGATGGTCAAGCAGACACAAGGAGAGAAGGTTTCAACTTTGTACATGGAGATAATAGAAGTCATGATACATCCCAGGAACTGTAAATAGTTCTGCAGAGCTCAATGTAGATGTACCAGAGAAGGGGGACACAGTGAAAGATGAGACTGGGGAGGCAGGCAGGCACCAGATCATTTGTGGTTTGGACAACTATATGCTAAAGTCAGTGAGAAACCAGTAGGGAAGTGATAGAATCTCATTTCTCTTTTAGCAAAGATAGCTTCAGTGGTACTGTGGAAGATGAATTAGAGGGACTGGAAGCAGGGAAACCAATTAAGAAACTATGGCAATCCAGACAGGAATGAGGACCTGGACAAAAACAGTGGTACAGAGAAAGTGGACAATGCACAAGGAGGCAGAATAAATGTGGCACTTGGATGCAGTTGCTGAGAGGATAAGGAAAGTCTATGACATATAATTTTACTTGTTTTGTACCTACTTTTGCCCATTTGCAGAATTAAATAGATCTGTCCAGATTTAAATACTTCAGGGGTGGAAAGGAGTTCCTTTTTATGGATTTGTTAACAACATATTGTACAGTGTGGTTTGAAATGTAGTCATTTTGAATTTAAAAGCTATCAGAATAATCGGAGGCTGTTTGCAATTCCTAAATAACCAAATTCCTTACATGCTTAAGGCCACACATTTCCACCTAGATTGGTGGGGAGAGAAAGGGAAACAGCACTAAAACAAAGGTTTGAAAGATTTTAATGAACACAAATGGCTGTGCCTAGTTTTTAAATCTGTCCAAAGCAAATGGAGTGAAAGCCTTCTAATCCTTCAGTGTTTCATCTGACATTGACCTCAAAAAGAAGAGCCTCCCTCCTACATCATCGCATTGACTTCCTTTAGCTCCTTGTTGTTTCGTGTAGATCTTTGATCCCAGAGTCCTCTAAGGAAAAAACATGGGAAAAGAGACAGCTACAACATTGAGTACCCTGGCACTCACTTTGCAAATCCCCTAGAAATATTAAATTAGAGCCGGACTCGGTGGCTCATCCTGTAATCCTGCGTCTTTGGGAGGCTGAGGTGAGTGGATTGCCTGAGCCCGCGGGTTCGAGACCCGCCTGGG